GTTTTTGGGAAAGCACCTGGAAAGCTGAGGGGAGTCTGTGGGGTCAACAAGCCCAGCTCCCTCAGCTCCTGGAAACAAAGCTGCCTCCCTGGGGCTCTGAGGGGCCAGGAAATGGGTGCATTTGGGATCAAACAGCGTGGGTACCCAAAGGGGGGCTCACAGTCTCAGAGCTGGAATGCACAGTCCAAACCCCTGCCCTGCTCCCCTGTGTTTGTGCCTTTTTTGTTCAGCTGGAATGGCTGAGTGTGTTCCCTTCACCACCAGAACTCCAGAGGCCTTTCATTGATGGGCATCCCTGCTTCTGCAGAATGTTTCCATCCATGGAATTCCCGGAGGAGAGGACAACTGAGTGAGCTGGGAGAGCTGAGCACCTCCCAGTCATTGCTGTCAGATCATAGAATGGGAGAATCATGGAATAGTTTGGGTTGGAAGGGACCTTTAAGGGTCAGATGGTCCAACCCCCTGCCATGGGCAGGGACGCCTTTCACTATCCCAGGTTGCTCCAAGCCCCGTCCAACCTGGCCTTGGACACTTCCAGGGATCCAGGGGCAGCCACAGCTTCTCTGCCCAACCTGTGCCAGGGTCTCGCCACCCTCCCAGCCAGGAATTCCTTCCTAGTATCCCATCTAACCCTGTCCTCTGGCAGTGGGAAGCCATTCCCTGTGTCCTGTCCCTCCAGGCCCTGCTAAAACATGATCTCATACAGGGAATATTTCCAATTTTTGAGACAGCCCCGCCCCTTGCAATTCCCAGTGACTGCTGGGGTGGGAAGGACTTTGCAGCAGGACCTCTCCCAGTGGGATTCCTACCAGGAACCCCTCTGCCCATGGCAGGGGAGTTGGAACAAGATGATCTTCCAGGTCCCTTCCAAACCATCCTGGGATTCTCTGGCATCCCACTCCAGCTGTTTGGAGAGAACAACACCCAGAAAGTCTGTTCAGCCCCAGCCAGAGCAGCTCCCTCAGGGTATATTTGTGATTCTCCTCGAGTGCTGCAATAAAAAAGCTCAAATCTGACTTTTCTGAAGTCAAGGTTGAAGTGGCCTCACCTCAGGCTGCCTGAATTCCTAATTGCTGCCTACACAGCCAGAGCACTACTGCCTTTGCCTGGAATTAAATCCGTGTGCTGCAGAGCCTGAGGCCACTGCTCCACACAGCCCTGAGCTGGAAAACCCTGGAGCCAGAGCAATCCTGGGAATAAAAACCCACCAGACTCATCCTGGCCCTCCTGCTGTCCCTGCTGCCTCTCAGCCTGGCAGGAACTGCAGTTATGGATTTCACCCTCTCACCCCAAAACTGCTGCTAATCCTCCAGGACAGGAATCAAGAGCTGCCTCAGTCTCTCCCCAGCACCCACTGGAGTGGTTTATTCCATATTTCAGACGGGAGACACTCCTTAAAAACCACTCCAGCACCTGTAATTGCTGTCAGATAACCCTGGGAGTGCTCTCAGCCTAATTGCTCTGGATGGCTGTACAGTTTTAATTGTCTGTTTTCCACATCTTTCGGGTAATAATGATCAAACACTGTCTGGAGGGTGAGGACAAGGTGCACTTTGGCAGCTCAGACACACACGTGGGTGGAGGGAGGTTTATTCCAACCTCACATTCAGGCAAAATTCACATTGATTTTTTTAAAGCAGTTCAGCTCTAATAAGGGAAATGAGATCCTGCAGTTCATTTGCAGGTAAAAAAAAAATCAAACTTCACTCTAAGAGCCAGTTACAGCTTCATGATTCGCCTTAATATTTATAATCATATCATAAAAAGTAGCCATGGAGTGATCCTGGATCCTGCAGCAAAGCTGGGAATGGGGCTCCCAGCCCTGAATGGAAGGGTGCTCCCTAAAAATCTTCATGTCCAGCTGGACTCCCCTGTTCAACACAAGCATATTAATGCTCATTAGAGGGATCATCAGAGGTGCTGCCCTGCCTCCCTCCCAGCCCTCTTTGTGCATGAATGGGTTGTTGCCACTGATCCCAGCCAGGACTGGGAATGTCTCACAGCTCCTGGAGCCCCAGGGGACAGCCAGGCTTTCAATTCTTTAAGATAAACCAGCAGTGTCAACTCTGTAATTAAGGGATGAAGTTATTGTCCAAACCCTCACTGTCTGCAGCTCCCCATGAGCTGTTCCTGGCAGCCAAACTTCTCCCAGGGGTGTCCCAGAGCTGAGCCAGGAAAGGGCTTTCACAGACACTTGTGTGGTTGGGGTAGAAACTCTTTTGAAGTGTTCAGGGACCTTTTGGCATTAAGGTTTGGGCTTTGTCCCCTCCCAAACCTCCCCACGTGCTCCAAGGCAAGGTTTTAGCAGCACCATCTTCCCCCCTCCCTCCTTCTCTGGACTTAAACTGAGACCAAGGGATGTTGGTGAACACGTCATTTATTCCCTCTGTAACATGGACACAGGCTGGGAGAGCTGGGGGGGTTCACCTGGACAAGAGAAGGATCCAGGGAGTCCTGAGAGCCTCTTCCAGGGCCTAAAGGGGCTCCAGGAGAGCTGGAGAGGGACTGGGGACAAGGGATGGAGGGACAGGACACAGAGAATGGCTTCCCACTGCCAGAGGGCAGGGAGAGATGGGATATTGGGATGGAATTGCTGGCTGGGAGGGTGGGGAGGCCCTGGCCCAGGTTGCCCAGAGAAGCTGTGGCTGCCCCTGGATCCCTGGAAGTGTCCAAGGCCAGGTTGGAGCCACCTGGGCTGGTGGAAGGTGTCCCTGCCCATGGCAGGGGGTGGAACAAGATGATCCTTAACTTCCCTTCCCACCCAAACCATTCCATGATTCCATGACTCATTCCATGATCACTAATATCTTTATAGGAGGCTGGTTTCTTTTATGAAACACCTCTATTTTTTGAGGCCAAAAATTAGATTTATTTTATCGCAGGGACCAGACACTTCCTCTGAAGACAGAAACCAAAGGAAGCCTGAGCTCCTCAGGTCTGAGCTTATC